CCAAAGCATGGTGTGCAAAAATAGACTCAGATGGGAACAGTGAAAAGTCAGGGATCTCAGGACAGAAATAAAGGGTGCAGTACTCCAATAAGCATAAATATATTCTATAAATAATATTATATATATTAATAAATATATAAATTATATAAATTATATATATTATATTATAAATATATTATATACATATCATATACATATTATACAAAAATATACATGACAATTATTTTGTGTGTGTGTGTGTGTATATATATATATATATATATATATATATATTTGTCATTTTAATGTACTAATGTTACTTTGTTAAACTAAAATAACTAAAACAAATAAAAATCATTGAAACTAAAAACTATATAGACTATATACGATATTTTTTATTATTACATATATTTAAAAAAAACTACTAAAAATGACAAAACAAAATGATTAAAACTTTCACAAAAAAATAAAAAAATAATATTAAAATAAAAACTGATTCAACATATTAATAAAAATATAATTATAATACAAAAAAAAATGTAAGATCATTTTATCTACTACGTGATGGTGTACATTTGATCAGTTCATGAATGTTAATTTTCACTAAGAATTGAACCCATGATTTTGGCGTTGCGAGTGCCATGCTTTTATTCACAGATTAAGTGCTTTTCCACACTTCGGTTTAAAAAACATAACTGTAAAAAAAAATAAGTAATGGTACTGTTTATAAAATGTACAGTTTGCGGGGAAAAAAAAGTTTGTAAAAAAATTAGGTACAGTTTTAAAAAGACATATGCATGTTTATTTTTCAGTTTGTAATGTGTAAGAACTATTAATGTTAAAGATTTACTATTTTACATGGTGATTTATAGAAGATTTACTATATTTTTGTTTGTTTGTTTTCCATAGTGTGATTTTTGGTGAATTATATTGAATCCATTTAGAGTCCTAAAAATCCTGCCTAGAATTTTTAATGTAATGCAAGGGTTAAACAGTGTATTTGTTGCATAAATACCAGCCTAAGTGGCTATTTTATTAGCAAAAGACTTTTGCAAATTTATGCCAAAAAGTTGAATTCGATGCTTTTTAAAAGTGAATTGATTTATTAAGAAGATTATGTGGTTATTTGCACACTATTATTTGCATTGAGCATTGCTTTTGTCCATCAAAACGAGCCAGTTGAGAACCGCCGGTCTATAGCAGAGAGCTAACATCTCTAAATCAGAAATATATAAGCAGCATTCCTTTATAAAGTGTTTGAAGGTTGCATACTAAGATGTTTGGTTTGCTACTAATTTGAGCTCCTAATGCAATATGGCAGCTTTGCCCGTGTGTGTGTTTGTCATCTTGTGCCGTTTGTTTTAATGCAGGTGTCTGAAACAGAAAGCCAACAGTGCAAAAACACCAGCGACTGCAGCCAAGAAGACCAAACCAATGCAATCCCAACACGTTCTAGTCAAGGCAGATGCCATACCAAAACAAAGAAAAGAACGACAGGCGACAGAAATGAAGGGGTCTCTTTCAGAAGTGAACAAAGCAAGAAGGAACGTAAGTAAACGGAGGGATGGGAAGCTGTCACAACATTAGCAGACGTCTGCTGCAGCTATATGACAGACGAGGCTCAGGCCGAACCCCTGCGACCGCAAGCAGGCTTTCTGTCCTACCCCTATATCTTTACTGCGTCAGAGCCGTACACGTTGTATCCCTCTCTATAAGTGGCTAAGTTCTGCACACTGTGCGTTGGGCTGGGAGCGGGGCTAAAATTCAGTTCGGCCGATTCCACCTTCAGTTTCTTGGCCTCGGCGCGGGACTTATAGCAAAACTCGACCAGGGCCACCATCATGGCCAGACCCAGGCCGCCCACCAGGATGTAGAAAACTCCCGCCACGTTGCTCAGGCTCAGCGCCTGCGAGCTCTTGTCCTGGAGCCGAGAGGGATTCGAGGGAGAAAAGAGAGCGTTAGAGAGGCAGGAAGCGGCATGCTTACACATGACAGATATTCAATTACAGTTCATAATATGATACAATCAGCTTGAATTACTGGTGCCATGGATTTAACAGCATTACATTGTTCTGTTACAGACAGAATGAAATCCAGTGTCATTTAGATTTCAAACATGAACTGAAGAGCTACGATTTAAATGAAATTATAATCGTTTTCGGCAGTTTAGCTTAGTTTGCTTGGTGATTTCTAAATAGTTTTATTTTTTACACTTCTATAAATATAATAAAAAATTAATGTGTCAAACTGGGAAAAATATTTATTTACAGCAAATTATTTAATTATCTAAATAATAGTTCATTAAAATAATAATTAAATATTTCTCGTGTTTTGAAAAAAAATTCCCTTCAATTTTACTTCACAATTCAGTTTTATATTTATTTTCATACTTATGTTTAAAAAATGCATTTAAGTGAAACAAATGAATATATTAAACTGTGAAAATATTTCATTAATGTCAATTATTTAATTTATTTAATAATTTGTCATTTTAAGTATTAAGGAATAATTCATTATTTAAATAATAATTAAATAATGTAATTAAACTGTTTTTTTTTTTCATTTTGATCCATGCATTTCAAACATATTTTAAAATGATTATTTAAATAATAATTAATTATTTTCATATTGCTCTTATCTTTTTGACGATCTGGATCAGCATTAAAAAAAAGGCCCCTTGTAACTTACTAAATTACTGTATTTTATTTTTATTTAAATTATAATTAATTCAAATGATTAATTATTTAAATATATAAAAATATATTAATAATTGTTTACTTGAAAATTATTTATAATATTAAAAAAAATCTATATTTTTGTACAATTTTGCTCTCTCTAAGTTGGCATGGAATAGTGGTATGAAATCTGTTACAACCATCAATTCTGTTGACCTTAATCAGAATTTGGAGGAAAAAAACATACTAAATTACAGTGTTTTGTATTTTATATAATCTTATATATATATATATTTTTGTATACTTCTATAAAAATGTTTCAAATGCATTTAAATTACAAAAATCTATCAAACTGGACAAAGTATTTAATTAAACTAAATTATTTAATTATTATTTAAATAATTAAAATAATTATTTTAAATATATATAAAAAAAAAATGGTTTACTTAAAAATTATAATATTTTTTAAAACATAATTTAATACAATCTGGCTCTCTCTAAAATGGCATGAAATCGCTTTATGAAATGTTCTACAGCCATAACGTGTTTCTACCAACTACCCCTGAAGTTAGAGTGAACAAGTGAATATTATGGCGCTGTAGTCTTTCTAATAGTGCAATATTCTCTCCATTTTAATGAACTCATCCATTACACTGTAACAAAGCTGCATTCTACAAAAAAATGAACACTATTATGAAGTCATGAAAGTGTCTTACTGTAATCATGACATCATGGTGCAGCATTCTATATTGTGATGTCACAATGTTGCATTCTAAAGGCTCTACTTTATTTGTCCTGAGTTAAGAAAATCTTAAAAAATCTGGATGATGATGACAGCGATATTTTAAGACTGTCGTCATCTTTTTCTTTCTGAAAACAATTCACATTGATTTCATGAGAGTATTTGTGTTTTTCAGAGCTGCGGTTTTCAGGTTTGCTTGCGGTTTTCCGTCCGGAAACTGACCTTACTTCCCGAGTCCTTGGGTCCGCACTCGCCCTTATCGTACCACCATTTATTTTTGAGTTTGTCTAGCACTCCTGCTTCACTCAGTTTCAACACTGCCAGGTTTACCGGCGTTCTTCTCAGAGAGAATAACATAAATAACATCATAGGCCATGTTATTTTATGTTATTAGATTACAATACATCTTGGCACACAGCAGCACAGGAAGTGATGAAGCCGAGGTCCCATCGAGTACACGTGTGTGAGCTCATACGTGTGTGTGTGTGTGTGTGAGGCTGAGCCACAGACGTATGGATGGGATCTCGCTCCATCGCTTCTGTCCTACCCCTATATCTTTACTGCGTCAGAGCCGTACACGTTGTATCCCTCTCTATAAGTGGCTAAGTTCTGCACACTGTGCGTTGGGCTGGGAGCGGGGCTAAAATTCAGTTCGGCCGATTCCACCTTCAGTTTCTTGGCCTCGGCGCGGGACTTATAGCAAAACTCGACCAGGGCCACCATCATGGCCAGACCCAGGCCGCCCACCAGGATGTAGAAAACTCCCGCCACGTTGCTCAGGCTCAGCGCCTGCGAGCTCTTGTCCTGGGAGCGAGAGGGATGCGGTGCAGAGGGGAAGGAGGGAGAAACGAGGCCGTTAGAGAGGCAGGAATTGGCGAGTGGAAGACTCAAACACATTTACACATGACAGATATTTAATTCAATCAGCTTGAATTACTGGTGCCATTGATTTAACATCATTACATTGTCCTATTACAGATAGCAAGAAATCCACCGTCATTTAGATTTCAAACATGAACAGAAGGGCTATGATTTAAATGAAATTCTAATCGTTTTTGGTGGTTTAGCTTAGTTCTCTTAGTGATTTCTGGCACCTTCTGGAACCAAATGATTGTATTTTGTATAGTTTTATTTTTTACACTTCTATAAGAATGTTTAAAAGGCATTTAAATTAATAAATTAATGTATCAAACTGGGAAAAATAATTATTTACAGTAAATTATTTAATTATCTAAATAATAGTTAAAATAGTTATTAAAAATTAATTAAAATAATAATTAAATATTTCTCTTATTTTGAAAAGAACCCTAGTAAGTAACTAAATGTCTATTTTACACAGTATATAGTCTTATATTTATCTTTATACTTTTATAAAAAATTTTTAAATGCATTTAAATTAAACAAAAATGTATAGAACTGGGAAAAATATTTAAAGTAAATTATTTAATTATTATTTAAATAATCATTTGTATAATAATCATTTTGTAAATTAATTATTTTAATTATTATTTAAATAATAGTTCATTATTTAAATAATGATTAAATATTTTCCCCAGTTTGATACATTAATGTGTTAATTAAAATGTATTTTAGATACATTTTAAACATATTTATTTATTATTTAAATTATAATGAATTATTTCTCGTATGTTTTTGTTGCATTTGAAAAAAAGCCCCCTCATAACTAGGTAAATGACTGTATTTTGCACATTTCTGTTCTTTTAATACTTCAAACAAACATTTTTAAAATGCATTTAAATGAACAAATCTATGGATCAAATTGTGGAAAATATTTAAAGTAAATAATTTAATTTTTATTGAAATGATAATTAATTAAAATAATTAGTTATTTGAAATATCACAAAAAATAAATTCATAATTGTTTCCTTGAAAATTATTTTTAATTTTTTTTTTTTAATTATACAACTTGGCACTCTCTAAGATGGCACAAAATAGCTGTATGAAATCTTCTACAACCATAAATTTTGCTCATCTTGATCAGCATTTGGGAAAAAACTAACTAACTAAATTACTTTAATTTGTATGGAATATAATCTTATAATCTTACAGCCGTAATGTGTTTCTACTAACTAGCCTTGAAGCTAATTGAGTGAATATTATGCCGCTGTAGTGCCATATTCTCTTCAATTTGCTGTTCATTTTAATGAACTCATCCATTAAACTGTAACAAAGCTGCATTCTAGACCAAACCGAACACTATTATGACATCATGAAAGAATCATGACATCACAGTGCAGCATTCTTGTATTGTGATGTCACAATGTTTCATTCTAAAGGTTCTACTTTATTTATTTATTTATTCATTTAGTTAAAATCGAAACAAATCTCTTTATGATGATGACACAGACATTTTAAGACAACAGTCATCTTTTTCTTTCTGAAAACACATCACATTCATTTCATGATAGTATTTGTGTTTTTCAGAGCTGCGGTTTTCAGGTTTGCTTGCGGTTTTCCGTCCGGAAACTGACCTTACTTCCCGAGTCCTTGGGTCCGCACTCGCCCTTATCGTACCACCATTTATTTTTGAGTTTGTCTAGCACTCCTGCTTCACTCAGTTTCAACACTGCCAGGTTTACCGGCGTTCTTCTCAGAGAGAATAACATAAATAACATCATAGGCCATGTTATTTTATGTTATTAGATTACAATACATCTTGGCACACAGCAGCACAGGAAGTGATGAAGCCGAGGTCCCATCGAGTACACGTGTGTGAGCTCATACGTGTGTGTGTGTGTGTGTGAGGCTGAGCCACAGACGTATGGATGGGATCTCGCTCCATCGCTTCAGGCAACAGACACATACTGCCCTGATTTCATTATCAAAACACAAACAATTACTGCTAATCCAGAACTATTGGCTCATCACAAACAGCCCAGAGCGCAGATAGTGTGTGCAGACAGGCCCACATTCAAAATATAACATATTTTGGGTTTCTGATGACTTAACAAGCATAAGTTATAAAATAAAGTGATCATCAGGTTTTGTGAAATTAATGTTATTTTATATATATATATATATATATATATATAAAACATGTAAAACATGTTATGCATGTGCATTTATTTTATTTGATTTTTTTTTACAATTTTTGGAAAGTTTTTGTTATTAGAAATAGTTACAAAAGTATTATTCAAATAGTTATAGTTTATAGTTATAAAATTATATATATATTTAATGCATGTAAATTTTATACTTTTTTTCTAATTTAATTTTTTATTTAACATGACTCAAATTGTTTATTATAATAATTTGTATTATAATTTTTTTTTTCGCTTTTGCATTTTTCAGTAATTTTTTTTTTACTTTTGTTTTTTTTAATAACATAACAAAATAACAAAATAATATATATATGCTGTGTGTACATTTATTTTGTACAATGTTTTTCCAATTTAGCTTACTTTTACTTTACTTTATTTAACTTGATTTATTATTATTATTATATTTATCTTTCATGTCGATACATTTTTCTGAATTTAATGTTATTATTCAGCTTATATATATATATATATATATATATGATTTCTGTGCAGTTACAGCCCTCATTTTCTGAAAAGCACAAATCTTTTAGCAAATATTTCTGTTTTGACAGTAATTACTTTCATTTCCAGTGTTTTTCTCCTTTGACATATTTGTCGGTTTCTCTCTCGTTACTGGCCGGCGAGGGCCGTGGTGTCAGGGCAGATGTCTCAGTTGCATCACATTGTCGTCTTTTTTTACCACTCCTCTGCGTGTCATTGGTGGCTAACCTTCGAGTCCCCGCCCCCGCTGCCACATTCGCCCTTGTCGTACCACCATTTATTTTTCAATTTGTCCAACAGCCCCTGCTCATTCAGCTTTAACACGGCCAGGTTTACAGCATTTCTTCAACAAACCATAAACAGCACATGAGAGCGGGCCGCACGCAGCCCGGGTTAGACGACACAAAACAAACAGAAAACAAGAGAGAACATAAGATAGCCTCGTGGAAGGCAGCTGCTGTTAATGAGGACTATTGTGGGATGTTTCTCTCTTTCTTTCACTCTGATTTTATTCCATCTGTTTTTCAAACAGTAGTGCAGTACTATATACTGAGAAAAATAGTAGAATGTAAGTGAGATACTTATTGCATTAAACTAATCAATATTTTCCACCATTGAATATAATGTCAATTTAACAACATTTCTCTCAATTTCTCTGCTATTTATTTTGGTATTGAGCTTTCTGAGATTATCATTTTGTTTTATCTATAAGCGATACATACAGTATGCTGCTGCTTTAAAACAATGCAATTAACAATTTAAAGGGGTCATCGGATGCCCATTTTCCACAAGTTGATATGATTCTTTATGGTCTTAATGAAAAGTCTGTAACATAGTTTGGTTAAAATTTCTCAATGGTAGTGTAAAAAACACCTTTTTTACCCTGTCAAAAACAACCGTTTTGTAGCATTTTCCTTTAAATGTTAATGAGCTCTGCTGACCCCGCCCCTCTCTTCCGAGCTGCTCTCTGTTTACTTTAGCCGCATTTATTTTGAAACTTGCTAATTAGCACATTATTAGGAAAGGCGATTTGCAAAGATTCATTAAAAAAACCTTATACTCACTTCTGTAGGTGAAGTTGGATCGCGAATGATTCGCGCGAACATAGACGCATTTATGTATGATCGGGGAAGCATTCCCTTCAGAAACAAAGGTAATCCTCTGCGTCTTCAGCGGCTCAGATGTCGGGAGTAAATGACGACTGCTATGTTCATTATTAAATCCAACAACAGAACACCTCAATCGCTCAGGAGTCATTCTTGTCTACATCTGCTCCGGCGGTGAAACA